ATGAAATATCCCTGAAATAAAAGGCCATGTAAAATTATTTATTCACTAAATGATGTTGTACATTCTTGACATATATACTTTTGCTACCGGAATATTTTCATGTAGGGTGCCATATTAAACATTGTAATCAAGTAAATGGGATGTGGGTGGCCCAAAAGGAGTCAGCAGTCAAGAACAAGCAGGCAACAGATGACATACATAATCTTATAAGAACTACCTCATTCAAGGTGAGAAAATTCTTAACTATGGCTCTATATTGTTCCCAGAATAGGTGCCCAGAGGTAGAGGGAGAAAGGTGCCAAAATGACAGATATTTAATATCCTGCCAAAAAACTCTTTTAGACATCTGAAATCTAGAATTATATTATGATAAGGATAAATATGTAAAATTTGATTGCAATTTACAGCACACTATCTTGATGCCTTTTATATTCTAAGGTAATCAATCCCTGCACACAATGTATGTGTGTGTTGGGGAGAGGGGGTTGGTGCCTGCTTGGGTGTGTGTCTGTGTGCAACATATATCATATGTCTATATGTATAAATATCTTTACACTACCTGATATTCAAAAAACAACAAAAAACAATAATAACTAACATGCCTTTAAACCTCACAACAGCACTGTTTCCACAAGATTTTTACTCTATATACTTTCCTCAAAAGCCTAATTTACATACCTGTTTATTATCCTCAGGTAAAATAAGCAGGTCCACACCTTCACCACAAAGAACACTTCCTCCGTCCTCGACTGCATACTTGACATACTTTTTCACTTTTTCCAAATGGGGCTTTGAGTTAAGGGCCCCCATGAAGACCTCTTGACTGAAGGGGCAGCCTACCTTGATCTCTCTAATGAACAGAAGTTGGAGATTATTTCCTTCTTTTTCTTATATTGCACATTTTTCCATAAATCATTGAAATCAGAGTATGAGGTACTACCTGATATTGTTTTCAGTAAAGGTTTTGAGTAAAAAGCATCTTTTCCCTAAAAGATATACTTTTGAGGAGGGCGCCACCTAAACACTTGCCATAGAGAGACAATCGAGGACCACAACAACAATAACAACCCCTTACTTTGTTTAAAATAGTTAGGGGAAGATTTTGGCAAAGTACAAAAGGCTCAATCAGATGGAAATGCTTCTATTCTCACACAAGATCAACAGATTCATTGACATCAACTAGAATAGAGAATAAATATCTATGAAAACACTCCAAAAAGAGTTACAAAGAGAATAATCATATACACAAATATACTGTATCTGTTCAAAGACTACTTTTAAACCATCTGAAAGTTGAATAGATTCAGATGCAAAAAATGTTATCAACTGACCACCTGTTATGCCTTAATATATAAAAAAAGATAAAAATGTTCATGTACCAACACCTACTTACAAATTATGACAGCAGCATCATTAGAGAGATCAAGGAAATACACAACTTCAATTAAGCATGCCATTTCTACACAGCTACTATAAAGGCAGTCTAAAAAAAAAAATCTTTATCAGAATACTGAAGCATCTCTTGATCTCTAACTACAGCAAAACCATCAAGAATAATAAGGAAATCTAGAAAAACAACACTTACTTGGCTATATCCACAAACTTTTCTAGGAATGTCTCATAGATGGGACGCTGAACAAAGATTCTTGAAGTACAGAGGCAAACCTAAAGATATTTTGATAATGATAATGTTTATGTCACACACAAAATCTTTTAATTAATTTTATCATAGTTTTATAACTATAATTTGTTAGTAACTTGGTTAAAAGAAAATGAAAACATAAACAAATTAAAAATTTGTGCGACATATTATCAGACAATTTATGATAAAAGGTTGAAAAAAAAGTATTAAAGAGACAAAAAGCAAAAAGGAGGAGAAGAAAAATGTGATGTAAAAAAAACACCTGACCCTGATTGACAAAAGACGATCTCTTGAGCGTGTTCACACAAGCATCTAAGTCACAGTCACTGAAAACTACAGCTGCATTTTTCCCACCCATCTGAAAAAAAATAGCAGTCTATCAAATCTATACTAGCCATTTTGCATACACTTGACACATTAATTAATGCAGGCAAGTATATCAATAGAAAATTACAGCAATTTCTTCAGGCAAGTTACTACAAAATAATGGCAATAAATTTTGTAACAATTTATGAGTTTCTGTAAAGCCATATCTGATAAAACTAGCAGCCTACATAATCACTAAACTTTGCACCACAGACTAATTAGATGGAGAATTTTGTTATCAGTGAGATATACTGTTTCCTGCACTCTAGCATAATACATTTATACAGCAATATCCACTTGCAGTTGTTAAATTCATGAAATATAAAAGTCATTTCCTTGTTCTAATGCTAAAATACTCTTCTGTTACTAAGGATTGGAACATAAAATAACTCAGACAAACATACATCCTATATAAATACCTCCAATGACAGTTTTTTGAACATGGGTGCTGTGACCTGGGCTATGTGCTTCCCTGTGGCAGTCGAGCCGGTG